ACATGCAGAACTATTGCTATGTTGTTGTTATGAGAATCCTTGAACATCTGAAGGAAAAATAAATTCCCAATGAAGGGGTATTAAGTGAATCCCACGCCAGAAGTCTCCAGGTATATCCTGTGAGTTTAAGGAGTTTCATGCATGCGAAGTTTGCAGGAGATTCCTCCTGTCGTCTGCAAATATATATCGAAGTGAGTTGAGCAGACATGTGAGCATGCTGTTGTAATACAGGCAGTGGGACAGGAGCCAGCATGCAGGTCTACACAGCATGTAGAGGGGTTAATGAGAGGCTGCATTGCATGACAACTAAACAGAGCTTTGGAGCTGGACTTCCTGGGTCCAGACATTGCCTCCCACTTACTATCTGTAGTCTTGGGCATGTTGCTCAACCTTCGAGTGCCTTAGTTACTCCATCCATAAATTAAGAGTGATAATATTAGATTTATGGGTAGGATTACTATAAGGATTAAGTGATTAAGTAGATTAAAATTTCTGTGAAGCTCTTGGTGCACAGTGCCTTGTAACTTGCCATTGTCAGTGTTGCCATTGTTATTCTTAGACCCCCCGTCTTGTATATGTAGGAGAGGGCGCCTGGATGGATAGCACTGAACTGAGATCTAAAACAGGAGTGGACACCGCAGGTGTGTGTATGCCTGAGTGTCTATGCACACAAGGTGTTGGGGAGGGATTCTGGATAAAGATGAGGACATGCACGAAGGCAGGGGTTGTGACCAAGAAGGGGTTTGCAACCCTGGCTGCCCATTACAATCACCTGTGAAAAATTTACAAAGGTTTAATGTTTGGGCCACACCCTCAGAGAATCTGAGACGGACCCAGATATTTGTGGACTTACAGCCTCCTAGTGATTCTGATGGGTAACCATAACTGAGGACCAACGAGAGAGCACAGTTTGTTCATGGAATGTGAAGCAGGCTTCTCTTGACTTATTGTCTATTCACCTTGAAGATGCAATGTAAGTATCACCTCCTCCAGGAAGCCTCCCATGACCCGTCTACAGTACTCAGTATATATCTCTTGCACAGTACTTTACAGGTATATTATAATTATCTAATTAAATAACTATAACACGATCATATGCTTGTCCCTGGACTGTATGCATTTATGTTGGGCTCCCCAGAGCTTGGCATGCCCCTGGGACAGAACTGGCACTCAGTTGGCAGAGCAAGGGAGTGAGGAGGTGAACAAAGGTGCTTGGTTAGTGCCCAGGTGACGAGGGTGAACGTGTGGCAGACGTGGATGGCACGGCCTTTTTTCAGGGAGTTTCAGCTACGACAGTCTCTGGGCTGCAGCTGCCTCCTTGTTAGTGTAAAGGGCATCCTCGGTCTCTGGAACAAACCCTTCCAAGCCTGCCATCTGTGACTGCACAGGCTCGGGCATCTGTGGAGAAGAAAAGTCCTTTTGTGGCTTAATTAGAAGCTTCTTTAACCTTATCTAAAGCCATTTCTATAATCAACTTGAGGAAACATAATCCTCCCAAACACACATTTAATGAATAGCTTTTCTTTTTTCTCTTTTCCACTCTGGTGGCAGAGCTCAGGCTTCATGCTGTGTTTGCCGGTGCCACTGTGGTGGTGGTGTGGTGGTGGTGCTGTGAGTGAGGGCACAAGGAGCCTGGGAGAGGCAGTCTGAGTTCCGGAGGCCTGGGACACCTCCCACGGACACCGAGCCACCTATTCATTTTGTAAAGAGTCACTGACCCCCCATTCTCTGTCAGCTGTTTTGCTAGGGGCTGGGAATACTCAGAAGGCTAAAGCTCAAAATGCAGGCAAATGGCAAACAGGGACGTAGGAAGTGAAGCCAGCAACTTGTGGGTGGAGGTGCTATGAGAGGTGCCTGTGCGGGTCAAGTCGACGTCAAGAAGGATCTTAGACTTACACACAGAGCATTGGAGAAGGTTTAGAAGAGTCGTCAGAAGGAATATGGACTGTGTATGGACTCTCTGAATTTAAAATAAAAGTTGAAATTATTTAGGAAAAAAAAACAAGGAGACACAAAATTGGTTTCTGAAATGGTTACCTGGTAGAGGACAGACAAGGCCAAAGTGATGAAGAGAAGAAGAAAGGAAACTGGAAGGTGACAGGGGAAGTGGGCAGGGAGACCAGCAGCCTGAACAAGGGCCTGGGGTTGGAGAGGGCCAGGTGTGTGTGCAGCCCACTGCCAGCAGGTTAGTGTGGCTGGGAACGGGAGTGCATTGGGCTAGGACGGGAGGTGGGCAGAGGTGAGGTGGGGGGCATTTTCAGGGGCAGTCGTGCCACATGCTGATGCAGAAGGTTGGGTCTTACTATGAGAGGCACTGGTTCAATAATCTGTACAGAAGTCACTTACAGTTCATCCAAAAGCCTCACTGTCTAGCTAGGAGGTTTTGTAATGACGGACCCTGCCCGCCATATTCACCATTCAACTTTTACTTTTCTTTTCTTCTTTATTTTTTGGAGACAGAGTCACTCTGTCATCAGGCTGGAGTATAGTGGCACGATCTCGGCTCACACAACCTCCGCGTCCCAGGTTCAAGCAATTCTCCTGCCTCAGTCTCCAGATTAGCTGTGACTACAGGTGCCTGCCACCACCCCTGGCTAACTTTTTTGTATTTTTAGTAGAGACAGGGTTTCACCATGTCGGCCAGGATGGTCTCGATCTCTTGGCCTCATGATCTGTCCGCCTCAGCCTCCCAAAGTGCTGGGATTACAGGTGTGAGCCACCATGCCCGACCCTAATTTTTACTTAACACTTTTGACCATGATGTATGGGAATGGGCCAAGAGTGGCCATTCCCTGTTTGACCGCTGCCTGCCCCAGAGCCAGTGCTGGAAATAAAGCTTCCATCAGAAGAAAATGCAGGCCATTCCCTCATTTTGGGGTTTCGTAGCTTGTGTCGTCATCACAGACTTATCTTACCTTTTGGAAGAAGTAGCTCAGAGATGATGCTGTGGCTGAATGATGTTCCATATCTGGAAGCAAGTCATCCACGATAAAGCAGAAATATGCAACATTTAGAGAAGCTTACTGTGTGCCAAACTCCTCCTTCCCTCTTTTTCATACTCTTGGATGCCTCACTTTACCCAATCGATCTCCATCTAGCACCAGTCTTCAGTCTAACAGCAGCTGAAGAAACTTCCAGCATTTCAAACTAGGCATTAGACTTAGATCTCCTCATATGTTGTTACATCCAAAAGCAGTAATTTGCTTTACATACTCACTTTACAGATGGGGAAACTGAGGCACAGGGCACCGAAGGGAAAGAAATGGGATTGGATGTGGCTGTGGCTGTGTGTCCCTGGTCTATTGTGCATGGTAGAGAGCTCCGCGGCACTTTTAATTGTTAACTCGCGTTCCTGTTTCCACCACTGAACAAGGCTCCCTACAGACAGAGACCCTCTCTTGTTCATCTCTGAGTTCTCTCTTATTCCAAACATGTGCCTGGGATTAAAGGCTTGAATAAGTGATGAAGCTTAGAGGTCAGTGACAGGCCTTGGCAACTGGCTCCCTGCCATCCTCAGAGGTGTGACCTCTCTTCTCACCTCTCCAGAATTCAAGTTACTCCCCCAAAACGTGGTTCTCCTGGTTCTAAACTGCAGCTATCTAAAGAGTTTCTGTCCAAAGGGTCTTCTCCCAAAGCCTCTAGGCCCTTTCTAGTCTAACTCCTCTAAGTTTTAGTTAATGTAACCAGGAATCCCCCCATAAGATATGTGGAGTGAAGCCAGGTGTGATGGCTCATGCCTGTAATCCCAACACTCTGAGGCAGGTGGATCACTTGAGCCCAGGAGTTCAAGACCAGCCTGGGCAGCATAGCGAGACCCCGTCTCTACAAAAAGTTGTCTGGGTGCAGTGGCATGCACCTGTAGTCCCAGCCAGAGGCTGAGATGGAAGGATTGCCAGAGCCCAGGAGTTCAAGGCTGCAGTGAGCCATGATCACACCACTGCACTCCAGCCTGGGTGACAGAGCGAGACCCTGCCACTAAAAGAAAAACAAAAACAAATGTGGAGTAATGTGAGGAGGATGGTGGAGAAAAGCTATGGAGCATTGACCGTGCATGAATCGCTGCAGTTCTCAGCTGCTGTGAGCTTATAGAGATGCTCTCTTCTCTCAGGAGGTGTTTTTAACACTTACTATGTGAAGGTGACATGGTGATGTGGCTTCATAGTCATAAATCCCTTCCATTGAATCCCTGCTCTGTGTGAGGGTGGCCATTCTTTTACTGACTCTCATTTCACTTTCTGTAATTGGATGGCCACAGTAACTCTACCAAAGGGTAGCTGGTATCCTCTGGATTAGATGGGGAGCACCATCAAATGCCGAGTGTTCAACGTTCCACATGGGAGATAGTGACAATTGGAAGTTATAACTGCTGTGAAGTACTGCATCCAAAATTTGATGGGATACAGAGTAGAGTTCAGTATATGGATCTGGGGTACCTTGAGGAGTTTGGGGAGAAGATGAGTAAAAGCTTTCCAGCTGATGGCAATTGTGAAGATGTCATAAAGCAAGTGTTGTTGGCTCTGGGCATTGAAAAGTAGGGTGAATTGAGCTTTGTGGCGATGGGATTAGAAGATTTGATAGAAAAGTTGAAAGGGGATATCCAGGATAAACGAAGAGAGGCAGAAAATATTAAAGTTGCAAGATGTTTATAGAAATCTAAGAGTAAGCTGTACTCAGAACATACATGAAATCAAAATGAAATGGAAAAGATATACTGGGACTAGGTAGTGGGCAATCTTGCCTGCCAGACTAAGGGCTTTGGATGTTTTTCTATAGACCGGAACTACCTCAATAATTTATTGTTGCTATTGCTGTTTTAGCTTCCAGATCAAAAGTGATAACATGATCTTGTAGTACTATGAGGTGTAATATAATACTACAGAGGCACAGAGAAAGGAGAGTGATTTATTGAAAACAGAAAAGTCAGTAAAGACTTCAGAAGAAGACTGCTCCTGACTTCATGGAGTCAGGAGCCTTGACTACCACCTGTTTTGCCTCTCCAGATGTTGAACAATCCAGAGAAGATCGCTGAGCAGATAAGCAAGGATCTGGCCTGGCTCACGTCCCACATGATGGCTCTGTGGACCCAGTTCCTGGACACAGTCACTCTGCACTCCCAAGTGACCACTTATCTCACCCAGGAACACCACACCCTGAGGGTGAGTGGCCAACTGCTGTGCATTCTCTGATCACATGCATTTGATTTCTTTGGAGGAACCTTTATGAGAATTAGATCAGGCATTGGGATTGGCCTCCAGATCTTCGTTCGTGCTTTCCTGTCTCTACCATGATCATGCAGGGTGGTCTTGTGAACATGCTTAGCCTCTCAGGCCTTTGCTGTGTCATTCATAGAATACTTGCCTTGGCAATCTCAGAGGATGTCAGAGCCTATCGCAAGAAATATTAGAAGTATTTTGGAAACAGTGCTTTTTTTTTTTTTCTTTTTCTTTTCCTTTGAGATGGAGTCTCACTCTGTCACGTAGACTGGATCATGCAGTGGAGTGATCTCGGCTCACTACAACCTCCACCTCCCTGGTTCAAGCAATTCCCCTGCCTCAGCCTCCCGAGTAGCTGGGATTACAGGTTCACACCACCATGCCCGGCTAAGTTTTTTGTATTTTTAGTAGAGACGGGGTTTCACCATGTTGGCTAGACTGGTCTCGAACTCCTGACCTCAGGCAATCTGCCCGCCTCGGCCTCCTGAAGTGCTGGGATTACAGGCACGAGCCACTGCACCCAGCTCAAAAAGTGCTTTTTAATGTAAGACATTGCTCTCTGTGTATTTCTCTGCCACCAGCTTAGGTGCATATGGGTAGGTGTTGATGAATAACTAAATATGTTGGTATTTAGACCAACATCTCGTTAGAACAAGGTGACAAAACACATGAAGATCAGAGTCCACAAAATGTTCAGAGAACATACATGACTGGGTTTGGGAAATCTGTTTCATCTGCATTTATTTACGGACCCTGTTACCAGAGGTCTTACGTTCTAGTAGAACAAATAAGACCTCAAGTTAAAATTAATAGCAAAAACAATGCAAGGACAGATTCATAGACTGCATTCACCTGTGTTCATAGACCAAGTGTGGGCTAAGAGCTAGGAAGGAGAGAGATCAGTTTGGAGGAATGTGAAGACTGTTGTTTCAGGACCTTCAGGTCATGGGCATGGCTCTCCTCCTATGAGGAAATGCCATTCATCTATTTGAGCCTCAATTTAAAAAAAAAAGAAAGTGCTGGTAATACCTACCTAAAGAATTGAACTGTTCACGTTGTTTTATTCTGCAGGTCCGAAGGTTTTCTGAGGCCTTCTTTTACATGGAGCACCAAAAGCTTGCAGTCCTGACGTTTCAGGAGAATCTGTAAGTATCCATTGCATGCCCGCTTTACCCCTAAAAGCAGCCACCCAAGACATGCAGTTCAAAGTTACTCTTCACTTCCTCACTGGATGTGAAGGAGAGAAATCTGCCCACCTCTGCACTTTCTGTCTGCATTTCCTCTGCAGGCAAAAGAGTCAGACAGATTGCAGAGTGGGGAGCTGGCAGGTGGCAGAGAAGGTCACCAGCCAAAATGTTCTTTCATTGAGTGTCATGGTTTTGTAGACAGAATCAAGGCACCCTAGGTCCCCGAAGACATCTGTGCTGAGTCCTCGGCAAAATGAATTAGAAGCAGGTGCTATGGCCACAAACTATGTCAGAAAAAAACACAGAATTCGCCTGAGACTCTGTGGTAGCTATGAAATGCATTTAGCATAAGAATTAAGTCTGAACTACGTAATTAGGAGGGCTGTTGAATTTCTAAGTTTGCCTTCTTCTAGAAAAAAACTGAAAAGTACTCAAGGAAGTGAGGGGGTTGATGGAGGATGAGGTCACTGTCTCATAGATTCCCGGGTGAGTGGGAGCAGAGACTTCTCTAATAGGTTTTGTCCTCCGGTCCACAATCCAAGGGTTTCTTTTTGCTTCCAAATGACATGTTCACGTCAAAAATTCAATGTGGGGGGAGAGATGTTTGAGATGCCATAGCAAAAATAGAAGGAGAAACAGGTGAGACCCATCCATCACTGAAGACGGACGTGGAGACCTTTTCACCTTTCTCATTGGAATCCTATTTTCCTCCCCACAATTCATTCTGTTTGGAAAGTACAGTGACATTCACGGCTTGTCTCATGGATTCTGCAAGTAAGGGGGTGGCACCAAGGAAAGCACAGCTGCGTGTTGAAATGACAAGTCTAGGAATTTCTGCGGTCGTTCACTCACTCATTAATTCTTGTATCCCAGTGGCCAGCTAGAACTGGGAGAATATATTTTCTAGAATTAAAATCAGAGAAGAGCTAATCTGACAAATATAAACAGAACTGTGAGGGTCACTGAGAAAAGTATTGCATATCAAGATCCCTGCAGGAAATCTTCTTTCCAGAGTTACTGCAACAATAGGGAAGCCTTAGATTGTGGAGCCATGGTTGCATTCTCAAGGAGTGTGAGCACAGACACAGGAGACGGACTCAGAGACAACTGCTCCCCCAGAAATGCTTTAGAACACTGACCACCAGTACAAACTGCAGATGACCCAGCACTCAGATTACATGGGTTCAAGACCCAGTTTCTGCATTTAGTAGCAATTGGTCCTTGAGAGAGTTATGTTTCTGTCCTTCTTGTTTTTTTCTCACCCCCATCCAGTCTCAGCTTCCTTATCCACACAGTAGGTAAGATAGCAATTGTGAGGACGTAACAGGCATGTCCATGCATATGGAACACATGGAGCTAGCCACATACTCTCCTCAGAGAGGGTTAGACGGTGACTGATGAAGTAGGCAAATGTGTATTGTCCATGTAGAAGTGGAAATACAGCAATAATATAGTAAAGGTGCTGTATACATGGGTCAGTCATCCTATTCAGGAAACAGGCAAGACATAAATTATGTAATTTCAAGTTCTGACAAGTGGAAGAAAAAAAGCAAGATAAGAACATAGAAAATGAAGAGAAATGGGGTATGCCTAGCAATCTCATAAATGTTTAACCACCAGCTTTCAGAAGAGCAAAAATAGACAAAGGACGAACTGCCTTTTGTAGTGTTTGCTGATTTCTCCTGTGCAAATGTTTTCACAAGGGTCACTTTCAAGCTACCAATGTGCTATCACTGAATATGGAATTGGGAAGAGATGTGCACAGTCAGCTCTTGCAAACCAGCGTCAATGGGCCCCAGTGCAACACTGAGTAGAAGAGAAAGTCTGTTTTAGCCAACGCGATAAGAAAAGGTCTTTTTGAAGATGTGGCATTTGAACAGTGTCTGGGGTTACAGCAAGCCATGCCATGACATACGAGAATATTGTGTAGGCAGACAGAATAGTTGTCGTAAAGGTTCTGATATGGGAACACAACGTGTTTAAAGATCAGCAAGAAGGCAAGTGTAGCCAGAATACAGTGAGAAAGTAGGAGAGGGGAGGGAGGGAGGACCAGAGGGCAGTAGGGACCAGTCCATGTGGGGCCTTGTCGGCCAGGAAAAGACTTTGGATCGTGTACTATGAACATTATGGTTAATGCTTTTGTTTTTCCTTTACCAGCAAATGAGTATGGGCCTTGGCATTTCAAATCTTATATACATGGTTTGAAATCTTGATTCTGTAACTTATAATGCTTGTGACATCAAACTAGGTACTGAATCTCTTATATCTAATTTTTTTAGATGTAAAGGGAAGAGTCCGTCATTCAATTACTAATGTATTTAGTGTTGACTGTGTTAGTTAGCTCTTCACTATTTTGAGCTCTGGGTATTCAACAGCGAATAAAACAGACAAATCCAATATCTCATTGAGCTTATGTTTTGGTGATGGAAGGCCTACAAGTACATAGATATGATATGCTAAGTGGTAGTAAGTGCTCTGGGGAAACATGCATCGCTGTGAGAGGAACAGAGAGTCCTGGTTCATGAATTGTCACAGAAGGTCTGCTGGAGAAGGTGATGGTTGAGTTAAGATCTGAATCAGGTGAGAGATGGAGCTCTCCAAATCCCCAGGAGATTGTAATGCCTATCCTCTGAGTGACATTAGAGATTACAGAATGTTGTAAGCATTCAGGGAATAGTAGACATTAACAGAAAACATAAATCATAGACTAAGATATGCGGGATACTACTCAGGAGAAAGTAAACTTTTTGCCAGGTCATCAAGAATAAGAGGGAGAATTTTATTTCAGACTGAGAAAATTGCTAGAGAAAATGTACGAAGTGCGGTGAAGAGACGTGAGGCTTACCGTGAGATAGTGAAGAGGGGCTATGCAGGGCTGGCACCTGTGCGTGAATGTGGTTCTGCACACCTGCAGGTCAGAGCTGGAGAGAGGTAGTTGCCCCAGGGAGGTCATGCCGCTTACACAAGGCAGCAGCGGACTCCCAAATTAGGATGGACATGGGGCAATGTAGATGGCACAGGTGAAACTCAGCTGTCAAGACCCATCTTGTTCAAGCTCAGATTAAATTGTGTTTCTCAAACGATGGGTCACAATCATTTAGTGGACAGTGAAATCAACTTAGTGTGTTTGGAACAGTGCTTCTTAAATGAAACAGGATAGGATAGGAGGGAGTAGGAAAGGACAGGGCAAGGCAAGGCGGAATAGATGGTATGAGGAAGGAGTGTTTGCTGAAACTGTTCCTTCAGTGTGTGTGCTTCTGGGAGTATGTGATAGCACGGGGTTGCCATGGAAATGAAGACCATCGTTTGCCATGGGTCATAATAAAAAGTGTTAACAAATCATCTAGAATTGACTGGCAGCAAGGGTGTGTTTTATTGTCCCTCGTCTCTGTTTTACTAATGTCTAGCTCGTGCTTTTCACACAGCAAGGAGGTGTTGGGTGAAAGTTTGCTGAGGAATGAATGTGGAAGTGGTGATGGAATCTATATTGATGTATTCATTTTCATAACAATCATAATGAGATATCACTCTTTCTTTTACATAATTGTAAGTTTTAACTTTTGAAAAGGAATTCATTCTCAGAGATGCTATGTCCATAGGGTTGACCACAATAGGCATTTTACTTGGTGCGAACAAATAGACATTTATTCATGGTGCTTAGTCTATTGAAACTACTCTGATCAGAAATGAGTGCTTTACATACTTTGGCTCATTTAATATTCACATGAACTCTATGAGGTAGGTACTATTATTCTCCCCACTTTAAAGAAGAAGAAACTGGGGAAACCTGGGCCCAGAGAAGTTAAGTAACTTACCTTAGACCACACAGCCAGCAAGTGACACAAACAAGATGTATTGGAGCCCAGTGACCACACTCGTAACCTCCTTGCTTTGGCTTCTCTGTGCACTGTTGAGCCATCATCCTAAAGAACAAATGAGGAGGAATAAAGTGAAATGCAGATTTGCGAATTTCTAAAACAGAAGTGTCCTTATGCGTTCGCTCTGTATTCCTGGAGTCAGGATTCCTGTCTGACAGCATAAGCCTGGACTCAGGTAAACCTGATGTTGAAACAAACAAAAAAAAGATGAACCAGGTCCTGTATGTTTCAGGAGACTCTTTCCCTACATGCCATACAGAATAGCCCAACTAAAATCAAGGATTCTACCTGAATGCTCAGAATGGGAGTGTCTCTGCCTACTGTGCAAACAACTGGCTTCCAAGCAAACCCTGCTCCCTCAGAGTGTCATTTAGGTAGATAAGGAGGTGACCATGTGCTGAACAGGGGCCATGAATGGAGCATGCTCGCTCAGACACAGGTGTGCAAGGCTGACCTATGCAGGGTGCATTCCAGGCTAGTCTCTCTCCACTTATGCGGCTTCTGCCGTGGGTGGGGTGGGGGAGGAGTAGGTAGGGAGTGGAATTGGAGGTGAAAGTTTGAAAAGGCAAAGGCAGAGTTCTGATTCCTGTTTGGATCCTCTTGATGATAAGGAATGAGGATTTCTTATTTAATTAATGCTACTCTTAGTTGCTAATGTATTTATTTACTCAACTCCCTTTCTCCTTCCCTTCCTCCCTCCCTCTGCATAATTATTCATCATCCTTTATATCCAGGAACTGATCTGGGGACTTTCCATACAGTGAATTAAAAAGCAACCAAGGTAGACAAGGTCTCTGCCCTCACTGGACAGAGAAGACAATAAATAAATTTGCAAATAAGCAAGAAAATTTAAGATAGGGCTAAAGAACCTGGTAATAGAAAGTTCCTGATTTGACCGAATAGGACCAGTGGCTCTCTAAAGTAGGGTGTTAAAGGAGAACAGTTCAGAGAAGGTGACATTTACACTAAGGTCTGAGGGTGGGAAGGAGTCCAGGAGGACAGTGCATTCCAGGCGGAGGTAACAGCCAGTGCAAAGGCCCTGAGGCCAGACACAGCCTGAATGCTGCACCAAAGATCTAGGAGAACGTCAGTGGGGCTGGAGGGCAGTGTGTGAAGAGGAAGGTGGAGGAGTTACAGTGATGGCAGGGGTGGGGGTCATTCAGAGCCTTGGAGAGTCAGAAATTAAGATTCACTCCCAGTTTTGCTAATAATAAACTCAACTCCAACTCCAACTCCACATTCTCCCTGCAGTTTGCTTAACTCAGAGAGAAAGTAGTTTTTCCCTTTAATTATTGTTCAAATAAAAATGTGCTCAGGACCTTCCTGCTGCAGCCCCAGCCGTCAGAACCACTCTTGCAGAGCTCCCTCGTTCCCTGCATACGCCGTGTTGATTAATTTTATTGATTTAATAAGTATAGTCAAAATGCTGTTTGCCGCATGGGAGGCATTGTCTAAGGCACTTGGAATATACATCAGTGAGCAAAACAGCATGTATTGGAAGACAGGTGCTAAACAATAAGCATTATGAATCAATCAGTTACGCAGCATAATAGAAGTGATAGGCATTGTAAAAACACAGAGCAGGGAGTGGACATCACAACTGCCTTTGGTTGGGCTGAGTGGGGTGGATTGTGGTGTTTCCTAACTGTGATCTTTGCCATGGAGGAGAGAGCATCCCTGCCTGGAACACTTCTCCCCCAACTTGCTTCAGTCCATTAGCACCTGGTAATTTCTGTTACCAGGATCTGTTTTCATCAGTGTTCTCCAGAGAGATGGAACCCATAGGATATACACGGAGAGAGAGATGACAAGAAATATATTAGGACAATTGGCTCACTTTATTGCGGAGACCAGGAAGTCCCGCGATGGGCCTTCTACAAGCTGGAGGACCAAGGCAGCTGCGAGCGTGGCTCAAGCCAGGTTGGGATTCCTCAGAACCAAGGAAGCTGGTGGTGGCCAAAGGCCTGGGAGCGCCTGGGGTGCAGAGAGTGCTATTGAGAGTTCCGGAGTCCAAGAGCTGGAGAACCTGGAGTTCTGACATCTAAGGGCAGGGGAAGAGCATTCCAGACCCAAGGGAGAGTGAGAGACGAATTTGCCTTTCCTCTGCTTTTTGTTCCATCCAGGACCCAGCTAATTGGATGATGCCATCCACATTCAGGGTAGATCTTCCCCACTCAGTCCCACAATTTGCACGCCAGTCTCCTCTGGAGACACCCTCACAGACATTCCCGGGACAGCCCAGTCATTCTAATCCACGCTAAACCACCTAGGTTTCCCTTTCAGCAGAAGCACTGAGAATAATCCTTGCAATGTTTGACAATGTATAGTGCTTTACCAGCTATATGGGGATCACATAATCTAATCAAGGTGACATCCAAAATCAACCAACATGAATCCACCCCTTGTCAACTTGGCACCCATTCTCATTTCTTAAAACATATTTAATCTTCAAATAAAGATAGTAGGCCGGGTGCGGTGGCTCATGCCTGTAATCCCAGTACTTTGGGAGGCCGAGGCAGGTGATCACCTGAGGTTGGGGGTTCGAGACCAGCCTGACCGACATGGAGAAACTAAAAATGCAAAATTAACCAGGCATGGTGGTTCCTGCCTGTAATCTCAGCTACTTGGGAACCTAAGGCAGGAGAATCTCTTGAACCCGGGAGGTGGAGGTTGCAGTGAGCCAGGATTGTGCCATTGCACTCCAGCCTGGGCAACAAGAGCAAAACTCTGTCTCATAAAAAAAAAAAAAAAAAAAGATAGTAACAGTGTCATAGTTACATCTAGCATGACACAACTATTCTGCAACTTCCTCCAGACGGCCACGTTGCACTGGCTGTGCATCAAGTTTAAGGATGGCAGGGAAGCTTCTCCTGTGAGGCCTGCTTAGCAAAACCTTGCCGTTGCCTATGGTTGGGCTTGAGAGGTCATGCCCAGGATTTTGGCCTAGAACCAGACTCCTCAGATTCCTGCAATCGGAGATAGGCACTGATTCCTGTGTACCCTTTAGCATTTTCAGTCAGCTTTTTAACACTTGCTAGGCCTTGCTTTAGGTACTTGGTCACATTCTCGAAAGCCCTATGCTCAAGAAGCTGCGTTTCCCTAGATCACAGCCTGCATAACATAACTTAGACCTGACTCTTCCCACACCTGTCCTGCTATATTTTAATTATTTGCTTAATCACTTGTTTTTTTCATGACTGTTAGCTTGTTCGACCTAAAATCAAGCTGCAATCCTCTAGGTATACTTCCTAGCCCATGCACACCATCCTAAGCCCACTGGTATTCAACATATTTTCTAATGAAACCAAAACTGGGCCAGAAATTCCAGATTCAGAGGGTGGTAAAAAGTGCAGAATTGACTGTGATAAAATTCCATTTAAACACTCAAATAAGAATATTTAAAGAGTTAAATATGCCAAGAAGAATATGTAAAGAGTTACATATTCAGAGAAGAACATTTAAAGAGTTAAATATTCTGAGAATTCAGAGTTATGAAGTTGTAGCAGCCTTCAGGGCTTTGAGGAAGAGAAAATAACCCTTCCTCTCTATTGTGGTGGGTTAACATCCAATTAAAAATGGAAGGAAACAAAATATACATATTTAATATGTATAGTAAATAGATATGTATATGAAATCATACTTAATATGTAAATTCAATATGTATATTGTATGAACTATACATACATAAAGATTATATATGTCTATACATTTATCTTCATTGCACCTGTTCCTGAGAATGCTGAGTTTGAGAAGTTGCTTTGAGTCTGTGCAGTTTCACAGCTATGAAGCTCTTCTACAGGCAGCTGGTCTACAAGGCTGGGGAGTAAGAAGGGAGCTTCCAGAGGCTGAGCTGCTCCACAGGAGTGATAGACAAACACACAGAAACTAGCTCTGCAAGCTCAAGTCTTCCCAAAACTCATAGACTCTGTAAGGCTCCTTCTTCCCTTGGGGGAAGAGTGATTGAGTTGGCATGGAAAATAATGATGAAATGTTCATGCTTTTTTCCTTTATAGAGTAAAATACACTCTCCCCCTTCTGTAGAAACTTGATGAGAAGGGAATACACACTTTCTACCACCCCAGCCTTTGAATTAGGAATGGTGATTATTCCAAACTCTGAAATTGAATTCCTGTTGGTGGAAGGATATATATGTCAGAAAGAAAGAATATGGAACATATTATTTTTCATCTTACAGGGGAAACCAAAATATATGGCTCTTGATCTAGGGAAATGTATGCCTTCATCCAGGATGGCACTGTCCATGTAATAATCAATAAAAATGGTATTTTAGATAGGTTTTAATTCAAATATGCCAAAATATGACCAGATCCTAAGTCGTCTAAGAAGTGAGAAAAGAGCAAAAGATACATAGATTTATATTTTTTTCAAAATGCTAATTTAAAATTTCTAAATTTCTAGTCATTTAAAAACTCAGTTTGCTTTCCACTAATGTGGTATTTATTATATTTCACTAAAATGGTCTATGATAAATATCCTTGTGTTTCTGCTAATCCTATAATCCATGGCCTCTAACTTCAACACCTCAGTCAGTTCCAAAACAAAGCAGACTGTGGCTCTGGGGGCTGAGTAGGTGGGTGGAAGAAAAGGATGATGGGCGGACAATTGCCAGAGTTGGCTGAGAACCGAGTATTTTCCTGGGATGAGGAAGAGGGGGTAACAGTTTGGAAACCTTTCACTCTTCCCTGGGTGCTTACCCTGCCTTGTGCTCCCCAGGATACAGACGCACAGCCAGCTATCCCTGGACATCCGGAACTCAGAGTACCTCACCAGCATGCCTCCGCTGCCTGCAGAGTGCCTGGACATCGACGGCGATTGGAACACCCTGCCGGTGATCTTCGAGGACAGATACGTCGACTGCCCTGCGACAGGTTTGTCTGTTTTGTTTTGGAAAGACTCAGGAATAAGGCTTTCCAGTGAGATTCCGACAGTGGCCCAGTTTGTTTATGTCCCGGCGAAAGTGACACCAAATTAATGAACGATTGTGTCAGTTCGTAGAGAGGAAACAAGCTAATGGTTTGAAATGACTTTGTTTCTGTGAAATGGACAAACCGATCTAACAAAATAACAATGAAACGCTTCTTCCCTGACTCCTTCTGGAGTGGAATTATATGTAGTGCGTTTTCACCTGCAAAATAGGAACCACAGCCTGCCCATCCCCACACCAGAGTGACATGAAAGTCAGATGAAGATTCTTATCTCAAATGTGCCATTCAAATAAATACGATTTCCAGGTGAACTTTAAAGACATTGGGCCAAAGACTGGGCTCAGTGGCTCGTGCCTGTAATCCCAGCACTTTGGGAGGCCGAGGTGGGCAGATCAGCTGAGGTCAGGAGTTCAAACAGCCTGGCCAAAATGGCAAAACCCCATCTCTACTAAAAATACAAAAATTAGCTAGGTGTGGTGGCAGACGCCTGTAATCCCAGCTACTTGGGAGGCTGAGGCAGGAGAATTGCTTGAACCCAAGAGGCAGAGGTTGCAGTGAGCCGAGATCACACCACTACATTCCAGCCTGGGTGACAGAACAAGACTCCGTCCCCCAAAAATAAAAAAATAAAAAAATAAAATAAAGGCATTGGCCATTTGGGCCACTGTCTACACATTATCACCTTGTCTGCCTGGGTGTTTTTTCGCCAGGTATTTTGATTTCCCCGCATAGTCTACAGCTGTGCCCATTAGGTGAACTGGTGTGTATACATCATTCTGGTCAAAGTGAGTGTAGGTATGTGTGAGTGCACCCTGAGATGGGATGGTGTCTTGTCCAGGGCTGAGTCCTGCAATGGGATGCTATCTTGTCCAAGCTGATTTGTTTTCCTGAGCCACCAGGAAAGGGTAAAGTATGGAAGCACTCAGCGAGCTACCATATTTCTGACTGATCGTGAACTACAGGTTGGCAGGAGGTGCTCCTTACAATTTCACTTTGCAGACATTTATTCTTTGATCGAACCCACCACCACTGCAACTCCTGTCACTCATCGAGTCACCAAATACTGGGCAAATCATTATTTGTTTTTATTAATTGTTCTTAAATGTATGTATAGCTCAGATTTACTTCAGGGTTTAATATTAGAAGTGTTTTAGGTCTTTAAGTTTAATGATGGTTTTGGGATCAGAAATATGCCATAGAAACTTAACTCTTGTTTATATCAATTAGCCTACGGTAAAACTGCTTCTGTTACACATCCCTTTAATTGTGTTATAGGTCAGTGTTTCTAGCAACCTACTGATGATGTTAAATGAGGACTTACTGTATATGGTTTAATAGATGAATGATTCATTTCAGGGAGAAAAGATCACCTGTTTGTGTGTATTGTTTCTGTATATGTATCCGGAGTGCAATCTGTTTTGCTGCTGTCACACAGAGTTTGTTAATGGACTTAGAGGTCAAGAGGGAAGTGCCCTGGGCAAGAGGTCAAGGTTCGTTTCTTGTCCTGACCCACATGGCCCTGCTCCTGGAAACCCAAAAGCTAAATCGTCCTGTGCTCCCTTTGAGGATCAGAAAAACATCAGGCTCTATGCTGGAGGTTGTAGATGCTTTCCCTCTTTAATCCCATAAACAAACTCACAAGCTCAATGCCACAGAGAGAATCTGAGGCACTAAGTATAATAATTGATTAAAGATCACGAGGCTTATTAAAGCCAATGTTCAAAGCCAACTCACTCCGATTCCAAAGTCCGTGCTCTGCCTCGCTGTCTGTGCAAGGAGTTTTAAATCATCGTGTTTAAGTGCCCATCATTTAAAGGATGCTTTAAAATGGCTAAATTTCAAAGATTCTGCTACCTGAGACTTGTAGGATATTTTAAAAATCCAAGAGACTTCCAAGGGCAGTGCAACCTTGCAAACATACGGTTATTTGGTTCTCAGTTATACCCTGACATCTAGTGTCAGCACAGTGTATGGCAGTTATAAAGTGTACAGGCCAGAGAGCCTCCAAACCAACTAGTCAAAACAAGTTTAAAACATGACACTGAGACGTTTTCTTCTGTGGGGGGGTGTGTGTGTGTGCATGTATGTATGTGTGTTTGCATATATATGTATGTGTATGTATGCATATGTAGGTATGCATGTATACTAATATGTAAGTGCATCTTCATCAGAGTTATATGATTTAACTACAGAGAATCTGAACTGTTGGAGAAGAAATTTAAATTAATCGCCCACTATCAGAACCTCTAGTATTATCATTATTAGGTTTTGTTGCAGATTGTCTTCCAGTCTTTTTTCTGCACATATTAACATACATTCTTGTGAATATGAATCTCAGTCCCTCAACTCACAGGTGCAGTTATATCACATACCTCTATTTTTTAAATAAATGCATTCCCTTGGCTGGTCACGGTGACTCACACCTGTAATCCCAGCGCTTTGGGAGGCCGAGGCGGGTGGATCACCTGAGGTCGGGAGTTCGAGACCAGGCTGACTAACATGAAGAAACTCCATCTCTACTAAAAATACAAAATTAGCTGGGTGTGGTGGCACATGCCTGTAATCCTGGCTACTCGGGAGGCTGAGGCAGGAGAATTGCTTGAACCTGGGAGGCGAAGGTTGTTGTGATCCAAGATCGTGCCATTGCACTCCAGCCTGGGCAATAAGAGTGAAACTCCGCCTCAAAAAAAAAAAAAAAATCAATTAAGTAAATAAATAAATTCATTCCCTCTCTGTGCCTCCATCCTGCAACATCAGCTGGAAAATCAACCGCAGTCTTTCTGGGGCTTCTCTGCCCACTCCTTTCTCACTACCTCTCACGTCAGTGCCCTGGAGTCAAACAGCAACAAGACATGGTTGGGGGAAGTCTTTCTAGGATTGTCCAAACCTGCAGGTTGCTCTAACCCATTGGTTATCCATATTTATGTTGTGAATCCCAAAAACCTGAGATAGGTCTCAGTTAATTTAGAAAGTTTATTTTGACAAGGTTGAGGACACAGGCCCATAACACAGCCTCAGGAGGTCCTGATGACATGTAACCAAGGTGGTCAGAGCACAGCTTGGTTTTATGCATTTTAGGGAGACATGGGACATCAATCAAGATATGTAAGATGAACACTGGTTCGGTCTTGAAAGGCAGGACAATTCGAAGCTGGGAGGGGGCTTTCAGGTCATAGGTAGATAAGAGACAGATGGTTGCATTCTTCAGAGTTTCTGATTAGCCTTTCTAAAGGAGGTAATCAGATATGCATTTATCTCAGTGAGCAAAGGGATAGCTTTGAATAGAATGGGAGGCAGGTTTGCCTTAAGCAGTTCCTAGTTTGGCTTTTCTCTTTAGCTTAGTGATTTTGGGGGCCTCAAGATATTTTCCTTGCAAAATGTCATATTTTAGGATCAGCCTCTCCTTGCAGCTTCTGTGTTGAGCTTGAGGCTGGGACTTCTGCACAGTGCAGGTGCACTCATCTTCCTGGAAGAACAAAGGCAGTCACTCTCAGAGGCAGATCTCTCTCCTCCAGTCTTCTCTCCACGGACCTCTGACCTGAGCCTTCTGTATCCCCCATACTACTTTTACAGAAATAACTGTACCCCCACTCCAAACTGAAAGCTTCTCTTGAACTCCTTGGTCTCTCACAAAGTATTCTGATGATTCTTTAACCCCAGATCAAAAGCATGAGTGATAAAGAACTATTTTCTCTTCCCTCAAGAACCCAGTGACCTTAATATTTATACCCTGCCGTGACGTTATCAGATACAATTATATTCCATTCGTCCAGTGTAAGGGAAAAAGGGAAATAAAAGATTTCCATTTCTATGTGAAAATAATAGCATTTACTGGGCACGGCGGCTCACACCTGTAGTCCAAACTTCTCGAGAGACTGAGGTGGGAGGTTTGCTTAAGCCCAGGAGTTAGAGGCTACAGTGAGCTATGACTGTGCCTCCTGTCACTGCACTCCAGCCTGGGTGACAGGTGAGACCCTATCTCTAAAAAGAAAAAACAACTAAGGAAAGCCATAATAGCATTTCTTCATGGTCTGTGACAGTACCATGGTGTATTAGTATGTTCTCACACTGCTGATAAAGACATACCTGAGACTGGGTAACTTACAAAGAAACAGAGGTTTAATGGACTCACAGTTCCATGTGGCTAGGGAGGCATCACATGGTGGAAGGTGAAAGGCACGTCTTACATGGCAGCAGGCAAAGAGAGAATGAGAGCCAAGTGAAAGGGTTTTCCCCTCATGAAACCATCAGATCTTGTGAGATGTATTCACTAGCACAAGAACAGATGGGGGAAGCTGCCCCCATGATTCAATTATGTCCCACCAGGTCCCTCCCACAACATCGGGGAATTAGGGGAGCTACAATTCAACGTAAGATTTGGGTAGGGACACAGCCAAACCATATCACATGGCCTAAACATATGCCATGTGCCAGACACTCTGCAAAATCTGTCTTTGTCTCTGCTCCCCCAACACCCACACCATGCCTCTCTATTCTAAGACAATTGGGAGGTTCCCCTAAAACCTGAAGAGTTGGCCAGATTGTCAGATTGTCTGGTTTTGAGTCTTTCCCCCTAACGATTATTAACTGTGTGAAATTAGGCAAAAGGGGTTAGAGTTTCTCCTCCCCAGGATTGCTGTGACTAGTGGATTGATCAGTCCATAAAACACTTAAAAGAGCAACTGGCATAAAGGCATTCTGAATGCATGTTAACTAACACTTCATTAGTATTTGACTCTAAATCCATTCTCTTTCAATTAGATCCTTTGCTACTTTCATTTTTCTATAATTACAATAGTGAAACTAATTATTTGCTATTTTGGCAACTGACTTACTTCATGCACTTTCTGTTTCCTGTCTTGGCTGTCCGTGATGAATTTGGTAAATGTTTTGTTTTTTTTTTTTAATTCCAAGAATCTATGACCTGTGGTATAAAGACCAGA